CCATCCATCCATCCATCCATCCATCCATCCATCCATCCATCCATCCATCCATCCATCCATCCATCCATCCATCCATCCATCCATCCAGTCCACATTAATGATCTGTTGTGACAAATAAAGAGCTGAGCTGAAAAGCAAAGCTCTGGCTTTACTGGCCCATTTACGTTTCAACTCTTACTTTTTAGTCATGCCTGGAAGAACGAGATCCTGGAAACAAGCAATTCAAGCGAGTTTTCTCTTTAGGCTGGCCGGGCTAAGCCTCAGCAGTAAGGCGAGGAGCTCTGGCATCTGGGCGGAGCTTGAAGTGAAGTTGCTGCTCCTCCACATCGAAAGGAGTCAAGAATGCCCTGTGAGCTGGGCAGTGTGGTTGGGGTGATGGATGTCTGGATTTCCCTCCTGTATCTGTTATCTCTACGGCCCGACCAAAGACAACCAACCCATCTAGCAAACAATATGTTTTGGTGTTTTATTGGGCTTCACTTTCGCACCAACTGAAATGTTGCAGATGATACAAATCTGTGTACACGCTACGTGAAAAATTAAAGCTCTGACAATCAGACAGTAACCTCATTTTGATCTTTCAGTGAAGATAATCACCTTCATCCTGGGTTGAGTTAAGATGTAACTGAGCTGACAGTTTGTTTACACTACTGTGAATCCAGACTGCTCATTAATGACCGCCTCTGACTACGGTCTAATCATGTTTTGCAGATCGACTATTGCTTCGGATTAAGACTTTAAAGGCCAGCGTGTCTTCTACGCTTCTAATGGAAACGTGTACAGCTGTGGTGAAGCCTGACCTTTAAGAATCCACTCCTCTGTTTACCTAATGTGTTTGTTTCAGGCACTTTTATCACCATTAAACGGAGGAGACCGAACGAAGTGGGGAGGACTGAGCCAGCTGATTTGTCATCGGTCTAAGTGACTTGACAGGGATCGCTGGTATTGATGGGAATCCATGCAATCCATGCGTGGATAATTCGATACAGATCCCTGCCCAGCTGTGCTGAACGGCCCGAGAACTGAGCCAAGAGCCAAGGTTTGCTTGTGGCTTATAAGTACTGACAAACAGGACTGTCAAAGCAGCAGCCGTGGTAATTTAACATGACACTGGATAAGACTTGCCCTTCTGTAAATACTTAAAGAAAGGAAGTACACCGATAATAAATATTTGGCTCTGGCCACACCTAGCCCTCCCCGTGTGGACCGCGTGAACCTCCGTTGCCGCCTGAAATGATTCACATCTGTAACCTTTGCTTATGTGCCAACTGGAAACAGTTTTATAACGACACGTTAACCTTATCAGTGTTCGAGGCACGGAGAACCCCTCTGCGCCACGTGAGGCCCACTCATCACCAGTGACCCTTGCGCTTTGTGTTAGCGCTGCGTTTAGCTCGGACGATGTTGCGTGGCTGAAACGCAGCGGCACGCACGTTTACATCGAAATCCTGTTTTCTCTAAGCGGCCACGTTTGTCTACGAGTGAGTCAGCAAGCTCTGGGCACCTCTGCAGAGCATCGAGGAGGGTCAGAGGAAAACAGAGTCTTTCACCAGACACACACACACACACACACACACACACACACACACACACACACA